AAACCTTTCCCACTTGGATTGGTTTTGATTTTCATCCTTCATCGGCTCTGTTCAGCCGTAATGCACCAAGTTAATCGATCATATGTTTTATAAAGAAGAAAGAGAGAGAGAGAAAGAGGGAGAGAGAGAGAGAGAGAGAAGAAAAACTAGATCATTCATTGCACCACCATCGAGAACTCGCGTCTTTACGAGGGGTTAATCCTCGCATGACAATCCTTGCTTCATGAGGTCGGGCATTTCCCGATCCTGCTTCACCTCTATTAATCGGAACTTAGCAAGCTCAGCCCGTCGTACCTACACAAAAAGAAAGGACGAGTTTCAAAGATAAGAGGTAGTGATTGATGGGGGGGGGAGGGGGGAGTGGGCAGAGAAAGGGAGAAGAAACCAAATAGGCAGTAGACCACTGGAGATCAGGATCGTGATCATGAGTGTCTGATTGTCTTTCATGTGACACCATTTTGGTCTCGATCCCTTATTACCCGCTCCTTCCACGTGGCACTTCATACGTGATCCGCCCAATTGTAGTCGACTCGGATCGGCGCCGATACTTGAGGCCGTTGCAGTGGAAGGAGTGGAAAATTGACATGGATAGCATCTTGCAGATTGACGTAGTGACTGATGCGATGTGCGCGGAGGAAGCAATGGTTTGGACGGGGAAGAGTGGTGAGGTAGTCAGCGTACCGGATGAGAAGAATACAGAGGGTTCCATCGTGGAGGCTTTCATGATCTTTTGCAACAAGGAAGATTCTTGAGACTCAATACAACTTCATGCGGTTTTACTGTTTTCACGCCACGCTGAAAAGAAGGATGTTAAGGAAGAAGGAGAGTTGGAGCACCTAGTTATAGGGTGATAACTCTGGTGAGTATCTTCACACAAAAGATGGGCAGCGTGATGTTGGTAGAAGATGGAGGAGATGAAGACACGATAGTCGACGGGAAACTCAACATGGGAAGTTGAGAAAAAAAAGGAAATCAAGGGGGCTGCGGAAGAGAGGATGGTGACGGAGAGTAAGGTGGGAAGAGGAATGGGGATGAACCACGACGTGGGCGGCAAGCGAGCGGGAATGGCAATGCCGGTGCGACGATTCTGCACCATTGTGGCGACTAGCCGTTTTCGCGGGTAATTCGGGATTCTTTGCCGAGTCCCCCGAGACGACTTGTCTCGAGACGGTTGGCTAGTCTGCACCTATCACCTGGTAGTGGCTGAAAATCATTATGATTCCGTGTAGTTCTCTGATTCCGTCGATCCTTCTGACGGCTTGCTCGATTCCGCCTCTTTTTCCAATTTGCATTCCGCTTCGTCCAGTTGCACTTGTCCGGGTTAGTCGTCTGAGGGAACTTCGTGATGTCGCTGATCCGTACTTCAAAAGTTTATTCCCTTGTCGTGAATGACCTTGCAGTTAGATCAAGATACCTCCACGTGCGAGATTGTGATCATCCATGAATTTACCCTCCTCTAAGCACCATGTCCACAACACCGTCGGGCACATCGATCATTCTAAAACTTGTGGGGTGGGTGAGTTCCAAGCCTGCGAGATGATGTCAAGATGCAGATCCTCCAAGATCTGTGCGAGGAACACAAAAAGCTAGTTGACAACGCTTGATTGGCCACCTCGTATTACTTCTTTGAGCACAAGACCGATCAACAATCCTTCCATTCCTGTCTCCCACACTTGGAGAAAAAGAAGAGTCAACTCATCGTTGGTGACACTATTTCCTTGTAGATCGTTGCGCGCCCAGTGCACCACAATAGAGAGGAGGCAGTAGCTGATTGCACAAAAATTATCAATCCACGACCGATAGCAGTGGATGAAATTTTGTATGAAAGGAGGAATACACCACGGGTGGATCTCCAATCAAAGCGAAGGGTCGGTCCCGCTGGCCCAAATTGCAGGAAGAAGAGGAGGGAAGGTGAAAGTGAAGAGACGATTCATCGATAGCGAGGGGACTGGAAACCGCGGACTCGCAGAGTATTGGAATCAACTCCATTGGAGGTTCCATTGGACGTGTGCAAAAAGAAGACGTCAACAGTTTTTTGTCCCACGGGATGGTCTCCTGGCCGCACCAATCGTCGTCTCCAATCCCGACCAGCTCACACCCCCAATTATATGACTCCTGCACCGCGTCCTCACGATGTGGCGAAGAGACAACACACAGATCACCAGTGTATGCCACAATTATAGTGACATCCCTTTGTGTTTTGTCGTGAGTGATGAAGGAATCTCAATGCCTCTATCAGTACCGTCGCTTGCCCCCCATCTCTGGATATAGTGGCTTAAATCGCCACATACCATGCCTATGTGATGATGAGATGGGCTAACCGCAAAAGGTTAGGTCTAAGCCGAGGATATTGAACTTGGTAAAAATGCAGTTGTGGTCGAGGCTAAAAAAAACGAGTAGAAAGTACATGTTCAGATGCATAGTTCATGGCAATAGCTGGTCAGAAAAGAGATCTGGAGGAGGGTAAATAGGAGCACGATCATCTTCGAAATCGTATTAAGAAGGTGAAGAAGAGCCTGAAGGAAGAGGAGGATCAGCAACAAGGGGAAAAGGATGGAGGTACAAGATATTGCGGACGATAGAAAGCCAATTATGGCTTCCGCCCACTTCGGGAGCAATGTGCACGGTATCGACGCCACTAGGACCGAGTTCGACTATGTGAAAGCAGCCATAGTAATTTAGAGCCAACTTACGGTCGTGCGCACTCTTACGTAGTTGAACCAGGTTCCCCAAGTTATATTGGATTTGTGGCCTCGCATTTCCATTTCGAGCTTCGTAGCTGCGGACTTATCTACCGTGGGTCAGTTCCTGTCCTTTCCGGACTAGTTTTGGGATAGCCTTTTCCATTAGTTTCAAGCCCCGCTTGGCCTGGGCTTTCATCATCGACCACTTGTCTCTACCCCTAGGCTCAGGATTTTTCGAGACATACCTTACAATGACACATGCAATACTGTTGGTCCATAATTGAAAGGGGGTTAGCCCCGTCAATTCATGAGGGGTAGCCCTATAAATTCCGACGATTTGATAGACGATTTTGGGCCAAGAACAAGTGTTGTTCACGGCGAGATTTCTTCAAAAGGCCATTTTAATAATGCGGTTGGCATTTTTGACCAACCCATTGGACTGGGATATATGCGGGGCGGTGTGTTAGAGTGAAACACCCCTTCGCGACAAAAGTTGTTCTACTTCCCCTTTAAATTCCGACCCGTTATTTGTTAGGATCTCTTCCATGTCTAAGTGGATATTGAGAAATCAATGAACATAAGAGGCTATCTTTGAAGTTTTACGTGTCTTGCAGGGATAAACCTCTATCCACTTTGTAAAATGGTCAATAAGTGCCAATAAAATCAAAAAATTGCAGCAGGTAGGCTCGTCTAGCATGTCAATATCTTTAGTATCAATGCTGACATGTTGGAAAGAGCGCTCTACCTCTGTGGGCATTCATCATTTTTATCAGCGTTTAATCCGCAACGCAAACTATGCTGCTTTTTACCATGTGCTTGACATCTCCACGAATATTCGACCAAAACCACTTGTTTCGTTCAATAGTTACCTCAGTGATACGTACTGCGAAATGAGTTGCTACCTCAGTGATACGTATTGCGAAATGAGTTGCTACCTCAGTGATACGTACTGCGAAATGAGTTGCTTACTCCTTATGGGCAGATCTGACTCGATCGTATCGTTAGAAAGGGTGAGGAATTGTTGATCATAATCTCAATCCGACACTTTTTCGTTTTTCTGGGTGAGTATCTTTCCATCAATGATCTCGAGATCTCTCAACAGCGCGACGCCTGGTGTAGGCATCCAAGGATTTGCTATCTAATTCAGATAATAAAGTTTGATTTGCCCAAACTTTTGGCCGTCGGTATTTTTTTGTTAGGGTCATCAGTCCTAGCAGCTTCGGACCTAACTTTCATAGGCAGCGTCTCTTTCCTACACATCGGGCATTCCCAAGCCTTATCTTCTATGCGGTATCTTATTCATTCTCCATAAGTGAGATTGACACATTGGCGCAATCTATCCAATCAACAAAGCCATCATCCGTGGGATGAAAGTCCACATCAATGACATCATAGACACGTGGAATGTAGATGTAGAGGAAGCAAAATTTATCAGGTACATTGACGGAAAAAAAAGAGTAAAAGAATTTTAGGGGTTGGGGAACGTAAAGGAGGGAGAGGATGGGTGATCCATAGCTCACCCTTTGTGGACCAAAGGGTGAGGTGCTAATTGCGGCCTGTTTTAGGCGGTTGATGAGACAATAGAATAGTGTGGGTCTCCTTTTTGTGGACCAAAGGGTGAGGTGCTAATTGCGGTCTGTTTTAGGCGGTTGATGAGACAGTAGAATAGTGTGGGTTGCGAAGTGGGTGTCAACGCGATTTGAACTCGGGACTGTTTGAATTTTTTCTTTTTGTTAGTTGCTTTTAGGACTTCTATCGGGCTTATAGAAGAAGTTTCTAGATTAGCCACCTCGACTTCTGTGCTTTTCTAGCAGGATATAAGCAAGTTCAGTGGAGTTCTTTACAGACTTCACAAGACCCCTGATGAGTCGTGGTGGGCGGCCACGCGAAACCGGTCGGGTCCTACGCCAGCGGCTTCGTTCGCACAGTGCTTCATGTTGTCTTTTTCGATAATCAACTCGCGTTCGGGTTTCACCGCGCTTATCCTGTGTGTTCTTATCGTCTCTATCTTATATTTCCTCTTTTTTTTTTTCTCTCTCTCTCTCTCTCTCTCTCTCTCTCTCTCTCTCTCT